CTTTCCCCCTTCATTCACCCCCTAAAGAAACTAATAACTCAAACAAGGATAATCTTTCTAATAATTCAGTTAAACCAGAGTTCATAATCTCTGGAAGAAGGGTTTTGTGGCATTCTTTCTACACATAGAAGGTTTTAGAAATAATTTTAAGCTTTTTGAATCAGTAAACCAGAATAAGAACATGGAATCAACTACTTAATCCATATTTATACAACCTGTAGACGTGTTTAACAAAATGCACAATCATAAGACTGGTATAGTTTTGAAGCCAAACTGCTTTTTTATGATTATTAAATTAATATCTACATGGTCTTTTAAACTGGGATTTACAAGTTGTTTTGTGTGTGTAAGTGAAATATTGTGCTGAACTATGCAACCCAATCTGACTCCCCATAATCTGTTCTTGATTTGGTCTTATTAGCACACTGTGTGCTTATGCAAATGCTTTGGTTTATTTTTCTGTAAACTTAGTATTAAGGAGAAGTATTGATAGAAGCAGAACTTCAAGGAACTTTTCATATCTACTGTTAAAAATTTACTTACCTGAGTTGATAGAATTGAAAAACGTAGAACAATAAAATGGTAATTTTGTTGTAAGATTTAAGATTCAAAGAAAAGTTATTATTTTAATATAATTTTGGAGCAGTTTAGTATTTTGGTAGTGAAGATAAAAGACCTAATGGCCAGTGGGTTATTTTTGTGCTGTAAATTGAAGGTCTTTGAAAATGTCCGAAGAGCTTATCTACTATTGGGTTTTAGGGTGAGTGAAGTTAAGAGGGAGGAAGACAGTGGTATTTCCCATGGGAATGGGAAAGATAAGTTCAGTTTTGGCTAAATATAAGTGTAATTGGCTGATAAAATTGAATGGAAGATCATTGGAAACATGATTCTAGGAATTACTATTTTTCGCTTATGAATATCATGTCATCACCAATTATGATATGAATTCTAGACCAGTGTACCTCATACTTAGGCCACCGATATTTCTGAGAGTCCAGAAATCTCCATGTGCTCTAAATCATTATTTGTAAGTGCTGTTGTGATTTAATAAAATATAAAAGCATTGAAATTTTTTACTGAATTCATAGTAACTTTTTATTATATGTTTCCATAGTCAATAGCTATTTGGACAGATCAACAGACATTTTAGACCATGCTATCAATGGAATATACTATAAGCTACATATATACATTTAAAATTTTTGGCACCAAATTAAAAAAAAGGAAGAAGAAACAGGTAAAATTAATTTTAATAGCTTATTTTATTTAAACCTTATATCCAAAATATTATCATTTCAACATGTAATCAATATGAAATTATTAAAATGATATTTTACATTCTTTTGTTCATTTTCCTGTCATAGACCATTTTAGTTTTTATCCTCAGTTTATCACTATGCATACCTATTTATCTTATTTCTTATTTAGGAAAAATTCCTAGAAAGTGCTCAGAGGTCTTAAAGTCAATTTCTTTTTGTTTAGGGGATTAGCTTTTCCAAAGTGTTTTCCAAAAATGGAATAATTTGCATGATTTAACTTAGCCTGTTATTAATGTAATGTGGTTAGGTTAAAAAAATAGTAGATTGGGAATTCCCTGGCTTTCCAGTGGTTAGGAATCAGTGCTGTCACTGCCAGGTCTCCAGGTTCGATCCCTGGTTGGGGAACTAATATCCCACAAGCCACGTGGCACGGCCAAAAAAGAAACAAAAGTAGATAGATAGGTAGTTAGATAAATAGATAGGTATAGATGTGTGATTTTTTTTTTCTTGTACACTCAAAATTTTTAAAATATTTTTTCTTGATCACAAAATTAATTGTTGCCTTTACAATGATACCTACTTTATAATTTAACAGCCTCTCAAAGAAGACTGAAAAGAAAAATACAGAGTTGTGTCAAAATAAGAACAGACTACTAATTTGTTGATCAATTTTAAGCTTAGTTAATGGGTATGTGCTTTGGAAATATATTTGAAGTCACTTTTATGTTATAGTTAGACATTTTTAATGCCATTTATATTTCAATATATCATATATTAATGAGTGAAGCATATGTAATACATATCTAAAGTGACAAATTAGTAATAAATCAACAGTAAATCCCCTTGTTATTCCTTGTAATTAGTTTGAATGAAAAATCTGGTATGTACTATACAACGTGGAATCTTTGAGAAACCAGTACTTCAGTTAAAGAGGAAAAGTGAAGACTTTTAGAAATAGGTCATCTAATTCTTAATTAAAATAAAATTATACGGGCCATTAATGAAGAATTTGTCAGTTCTGTGTCTTAATTTTCACATCGGAAATTAACAGATTTGACTAGATCTCTAAAATCACTTACAATGATTAACTTTTTGGATTTGGGGACCCTTCAGATTTTATCTAGTAAAGATAGAGTAAGAACCAGTAGTGTGGGACTTCCCTGGTTGCGTACTGGTTAAGAGTCCACCTGCCAATGCAGGGGACACAGGTTCAAGCCCTGGTCCAGGAAGATCCCACATCCCGCAGAGCAACTAAGCCTGTGCACTACAACCACTGAGCCTGCGCTCTAGAGCCTGTGAGCCACAACTGCTGAGCCCACATGCCACAACTACTGAAACCCACGTGCCTGGAGCCCATGCTCCGCAGTGAAGCCACTGAAATGAGAAGCCCGTGCACTGCAATGAAGAGTAGCTCCCGCTCGCCGCAACTAGAGAAAGCCTGTGTGCAGCAACAAAGACTCAACACAGCCAACAATAGAAATAAAAAATTTTTTTAATTCTAAATAAATAAATAAAAAACAAACTGGGTTTATATGAAGTTCAAAACCAAGCTAAACAAAAATCATTTAAAAACAAAAGAACCAGGGCTTCCTGGTGGCGCAGTGGTTGAGAGTCTGCCTGCCAATGCAGGGGACACAGGTTCGTGCCTTGGTCCGGGAGGATCCCACATGCCGCGGAGTGGCTGGGCCCGTGAGCCATGGCCGCTGAGCCTGCGCGTCCGGAGCCTGTGCTCCGCAACGGGAGAGGCCACAATAGT